ATTTATTTGAGAGAGAGAACACGCTAGGGGGAGGCAGAGGGAGAGAATCTCAGGCAGTCTCCACGTTGAGCACAGAGCCCATATATGGGGTTCGATCCTGGGACCCTGAGATCATGACCTGAGCTGAAACCAAGAGATGGACACTTAACCTACTGAGACACCCAGGCACCCCTTTCCAGGTTTAATTTTTAATGTAGCAAACACTGAGATATGTAACCTGGATTTTTTTTTTTTAAAGCCCTTAGGCACCTCAGTTTTTAAGAATGTAAAGATCCTGAGGCTCTAAGGTTTGAAAGCCAAGGTCTCCAGATGTTTTAAGTGTTCAGAATATATGGATAAAAAGCTAATACCACTTCTGCTTTAATCATCCTAAAATCAAGGCATTAAAAAATAATAATAAAATAAAGCCATTGTTTCTTTAACTATAAAATGTGTCATTTACATATATTTAATGTATTTGAAATTTAAATACATTTGTGTCTAAATATATTTAATTCTTGAAAAGTAGTTTTATTTTTTTTTTTAAATTTTTTTAAGATTTTATTTTAATTATTTGTCAGAGAGAGAGAGGGAGAGAGAGCAAGCACAGGCAGACAGAATGGCAGGCAGAGGCAGAGGGAGAAGCAGGCTCCCTGATGAGCAAGGAGCCCGATGTGGGACTCGATCCCAGGACGCTGGGATCATGACCTGAGCCGAAGGCAGCTGCTTAACCAACTGAGCCACCCAGGCGTCCCTGTTTTTTTTAATTTTTTTAAAGATTTTATTTATTTATTGAACAGAGAGAGAGAGAGAGAGATCACAAGTAGGCAGAGAGGCAGGCAGAGAGAGAGGGGGAAGAAGGCTCCCCGATGAGCAGAGAGCCCGATGCAGGGCTTGATCCCAGGACCCTGGGATCATGACCTGAGCCGAAGGCAGAGGCTTAACTCACTAATCCACCTAGGCGCCCCAGTTTTATTGGTTTTTAAATTGAACAAAATACATATGGATGGTTTTTAAAAATTCAAACAGTACAAAGATACATTTTAAATTCTTTTTGAGTTAAAGGGATGTATAAGGGACACCTGAGTGGCTCAGTCAGTTAAGTGTCTGCCTTCAGCTCAGGTCATGATCCCAGGGTCCTGGGATGGAGCCCCGCATCAGGCTTCCTGCTCCGAGGGGAGCCTGCTTCTCCCTCTTCCTCTCCCTCTGCCTCCTGCTCCCCCTACTTCGACTCTCTCTCCTCTCAAATATATAAATAAAAAATCTTTTAAAAAAGGGGTCCTTTGGAAATTTGTAGGGGAAAGAATATAATTATAACCATTGTTTTACCAATTTATCAAATAATCTTTTCAGTTTTCCCAAATTCCTTATCCACACATTTATGGTAATGATAAGAAGAATAAAATTTCAGAGTGTATACTCTATACATATATACATTATACCCAATAATGCCAGGCACCTTTCTAAAATGCCTCAATGACAATGATGATATACTGATGAAAAACTGTCTCCCGGGGCACCGGATGGCTCAGTCAGCTAAGCAGGGTCCTTGCTGAGCAGGGAGCCGGATGTGGGTTTCAGTCCCAGGACCCAGAGATCATAACCTGAGTTGAAGGCAGTTGCTTAACGGACTAAGACACCCAGGCACCCAGTAACTGATTTTCAAAACCTAAATGTAGCTTACTCATGATCATTACACTTTGACCGAGTATTCCAGTTAACTGAAAGTCTTATAAATTGTTTTTGTTGCTATTTGTTGTGTTAGCTACTCCTGCCAGATTTTCCTTTCCTGACCTTCCCTTTAAGACTTGTAGACATTCAGAGTGCCTGGGTGGCTCAGTAGTAGTAGTAGTTGTCTGCCTTCGGCTCAGATCATGATCCCAGGGTTCTGGGACCAAGCCCCACATTGGGCTTCCCACTTGGCAGGAAGCCTGCTTCTCCCTCTCCCACTTCCGCTGCTTGTATCCCCTCTCTCATTGTCTCTCTCTCTGTGTCAAATAAATAAATAAAATCTTAAAAAAAAAAAAAACAAAAACAACTTGTAGACATTCAGCGGGGCCTGGCAGGCTTAGTCAGGGGTAGTGTGTTCAAGCCCCATACTGGGTGCAGAAATTACTTACATACATACATACACTTTTAAAAAAAGAATTATAGACATTCAAAGAACGTACACAAGAAGTTAAGATGTCACCTTGGAAAGGCCAATGGAAAGCTCCACTAAATCTAGTGGATTTATCATGGTCCATGTTCTGACCCTCTTGGCGACTTGGAAATCACTTAAAAATGTGACTTAGATCTAAGGAATATTGGCATTAAACAAGGTTATGTAAACTAAAACATTATTTTATTAAGAATTATGACTTCCAAGAAGACTGTGCCTTCTTGTTTGAAAATGTAGGTTTTATTATTATTCACATATGTTGAGGCCAACAAGAGACAGTTACATTGAAAATACCATTTGTAACTCGCAGTTGTCAAGAGAAGGCAGGGATACCACGTCACACAGGGCCAGTATGGGGAAGCACCAGGGTCTGACTGGAGATAGAGTGTGAGGGAAAACTGGGCCAAGACCCTTTATTATAGTTTCTGTAGGAAAGAATGGGTGAGGCAAGGTAATCAGGTTTAGGATTGGCTAGTTTGAATAATTTCAGTGGTTTCTGGGGTGTGGGAGCTGTCACTGGTTGTTTGGTACCTGACCCTGCAGTGACTAGGATGGGGGGTAGTGGCCCTAAGAAGGTCTGTGAGAGCCTGATAAAGGAGTTGGTTGGTTGGAGTATGGACTCTGAGTTGGCTGGTTTGCACATGAAAGATGCATTCTGGGCCAAGTTGTTTTCTATCCCTAGGAATTAGCTAACCCTGGGAGGGGTGGTCCCTCTAGTGTTAGCAAGGCCCCCAAATATCAAAGCATCAGCACATACCAAAACAAAACAAAACAACCCAACAACAACAAAAAACCCAGAAAACAAAACCAACAACAACAAAAAATCCATGATTAATACAGTTGTCATCACCCTGACAGTTCATTCCTTCCTTTAAACAAGCTATATGGAAATCAAGTTATTAGAAGGCTACATAGTATTTAATCAGAATAAGTGTAGTTAATCATTTGAGATTTTAAAAGGTCCAGGTACTGGATAACTGATGGATACATCTCTACCAAAGAATATGCTAGGCAGGTGTTCATCACCTTCCCTGGCACTGCTTGGATGGGACACTGTCAGCAATTGTCTCTGTAACTAGGACTGCCCTATGTCCTCCCTAGGAGGACACAGTGAATCAGTATTAGCTGTACTCTGTGGAAATCCTAGCCACAAATAACTAAGAATTGTACCTGTAAAACTAATGAATGAAGGATCATCACACCTTTAAATTAAAGTTAAATCATACTTTTATGTTATGTTAAAATATAACACATATATACATATCTGACTCCTGTTACAAACATCTGTGACTTACCTACCATTGGAATCCCAGTGATATATTCCACTTAATGGAGTGAAAAGTCCCATAGGATGGTTTTGCAACCTAACTCAAGCAACCTTAGCCCCTAAAATGTTTTCAGGATTGAGAGAAGACTAAAAGCTCTTCCAAATACAGCCAACAAAGGTTTAGTCTTATTAAATATTTTTTGCATATTGGGATTAGAATAGCAACAAACATTATTCTTAGTTTCCTATTTACTTAAAATAACATGTGGCACAATTTCTCTTGAGATTATTTTGAAATATTTGTTAGTATTTGAGATAAATAAAAATGATAATCAAAATAACATTTAAAATTTTTATTGATAACATTTTGTTTCTGAACTAATCTATTTACATATTCTTCCAAACTGTATCCTTGCAACTTAAAGCCAAGCAACTTTTCTCAATATTAAAACTTGCAAAAAGGGTTTAGCTACTTATAAACATCAGGTACAATTCTAAGTTCTGAATCAAAAAATATTTCTAATGTAATTTACAGTAATGTTCTTTAAAACATTAAATGGAAAACCTTCAATTATTTTATTCAAATGAAAGCCACAAAAAAATTAAATAATTACCAAGTACATTACAACTTGCTTATATCAAATTACCAAGAAAAGCATCATGCCAATTGTTAGGATCTCCTCTACTAATAGAAGGCAAAGAAATAAAGTTGTATATGTCAGTCATCAAATTAATACACTCCTGTTTTGTATAATTTGACTTACTCTTTGTTGTAAAACTGCTAGATTGAAATAAGGATTCTTTATATAAACACCACATTTTGAAGTCGTTTAGATAATATAGTCATTTTGTAATATTTTATGATAGTAACACGGTATTCATTTATTTTGTTAGAAGTTATTCACAGGTCCTAAATACTAGATGATTGGAATGTCACACTAAGGAAATTATCCTTATTATATAAATGTCTAGTAATTATATGTTAGAAATTAAAAGATATTGTTTAATCTTGACCGAATAGTGTATTTTGTAATTAAGTTTCTATTGGCTTTCCTAATTTTACCTAACCTAAGAGAATCTAATAATCAGTTTTTCTTTTCTAAAATGAAGCAAGCACATAGTTTCTATTTGTGATAAAACCCCAGTTTTTTTTTTTTGGTTGTCTGTAGAAAGACAAGAATAATTTGATATAAGTAAAGAGGAATGCTGTTAAACTTCTGCTTTTTCTTGTTATTGGGAACCTATAGATAGACTTGAGAAATAATAGCAGGAATTAAAGGATATGAAGAAAGAATTTATGGGATAACATTAAAGACAAAATAAAACCAAGCAAAAAACAACACACTAACACTTAGCATAGATTATTACTAGCTTATAAAACTCCGATCTGTTATTTGACATTGATAAAGCTGACTCCATGAATATTAGCTGCCCAGTGTACTATAATGGTTGGCCTTTTAAAATTTTAATTAGATTTCATACACTTGCAATCAACATTTTTAAGAATTAGTTCATTCTTTCCTTATACCGTACAGGCTTATTGATCATAGAACACTTTCATGGTTGTTTTTTTTTTAATGCTTTTGGCATCTTGGAAAATTACAATCATTTATTGACTTGTAATGTTAAAAACGTTTATTGACTTGAATGCAGTGTGTCCTAATAAAATACTTGAAAAATCTGAAAAAATTTTCAAAGTCATCTCCAACATATTTGACCTTCTTTTTTTTTACTGATTTTTGTTTAAATTAAAAACTTGGGCCACATGAAGGTTGTTATATATTAGAAATTTTGAGAAATATAGCTTTAATTTTGTTTAAATTTCCTTAGTAGAAACTATGTATTATTTGTATGTCCACAGTGCCTAGGACGATATGCAGTATATTTTGATGCCCCTAACAATGACGGACTAACCAATTACAAGATTTAAAAGGATGAACATTTGAGATTTCTTCTCTGGTTCTATACTTCTCTGATGTAGACAACTGAACAAAATGTGCTTTCTAGGCATCTCTTAAAAATTTACTAATTGCTTAATTTGTTCTGTTTGCAATGATTGTCTCCTTAACAACATTTTTTTGCTTTTGAATTCTTTAGGGAACATAGGAACTGTTGGCATAAGCACTTTTTGACCGCAAGAAAGGAGGCTGGAAATCTTATTATTGGTGTTGATATCTGAAATGGGAGGGTGAGGATTCACATTTAAGGGTGGCAGAAATCCTGGTCTGGCTTGAGTAATATTGTGATCTAAAGAGAAAGGTCCTGACCCACGCCTTTCTAAAAGTGCATGATTTCTCCTGCTCAAGGGACCTGGTGAGATATTCTCCAGCAATTCTCTAGGCCCTGACAGCAAGGAAGGAGATGGCGAGAAGACCTTTTTCTTTCCTATAAGTGCTTTGCCATCTTCTAAAGTTGTAGGGGTAAGACCAGCAGAGAGCTGGGAATCAGAGCTGTAGTGATTTGCCCCTGAGTTTCTTTTTTGAACTATACTTCTTAAGGTGGAAGCAAAGATTGTCTGGTTAGAGTCTGGATCTGGGTCAGCAGGGATTTCAGTGCATTGCTGGCTTCCTTCTGAAAAAAATGCCTGATGATTTATTTCATCGTATGACATCTTTCTTGAGCTGGCCTGATCAAAGGCTCTTAATAAATGTGCCGTGTCTTTTACATCAATACTTTGGTGCCTAGTGATGAAGCGCTTGGAAAGTGCCACCCCATTGGTTTTGTAGGATAATTCTTCCTCTGGAGTAATATCCTGGAGCTCCTCTTGCAAGGAGGCCACCCTGTTTTGGTGCATTAGTAAGGGAGGACTCTTGATCCAGGTTGGAGGTTGGGGTAGCTTGGGCCCATTAGAGGCCACAGCAGGCTTCCTCACAGGGGAGCCTGGGTCCTGTGTATCATCACTACTTCCTGAGAGTTCCAGACCTTTAAGGCCAAAAAAGGTCATTTCAGTTTCAGAAGAATGTGTAAGTGGCAATGAGGCTGTTTTTATGTCTATTTCTGAAGGAGTGGCACAGGAGGCTGGGGAATGACCCCCATCTATATCTACAGGAGGCATATTTAAGTACTGTTTGGTAGTGTGCCTACCAGAGGGGGATTTTGCTGTCGTTATGATAATGACCTCTTTCCCTTTTGCCTTGCAAGCGCTAAGTAGAACTTTCAGGGTTTCTCTATCCTCTGAATTTATAGCATAAACAAGGGCTGAATAACTAGAATGGTCTTGCAGACTGAGATCAGCCCCATTGTTTAGGAGCAGGGAAACAACTTCAGGACCAGCTTTTTCTAAGCAAGCGTGCATCAAAGCAGTTTTCCCAGATTTGTCCTGTATGTTGGGGTCAGCATTGTTTTCTAATAGGTATTTAACCATTTTGGCTTTACTGACACTCTGGTGATCAACATGTTTGGTTTTACAAGCGATCATTAAAGGTGTTTCCCCACGGTCATTGCTCTCGTTAATGTAGGCACCACCTTCTAGCAAGAGTCTTGTGAGGCGAAGCCGGCTCTGATGGACTGCTTTGATGAGGGAATTTCCATCACTTGAAATTTCTACACCTTCATCCATCTTCAAAAGTCAGAATGAATACCTGGTTATCAAAGAATATGAAGAACAAAAGATCAGCCAGAATCCCAGTCTTTATTCATGTTATTATTCATAACTTCTGAAATTTGTATGTATAGAGTAACAGGACATAAATGAGATTGTTAATAATACAGAACACAATAGTGAATTGCAGAATTAAAGAAATTTTAGAATAGTAACAGCCTGTAGGGAATCACATACTAAAATTTACTTTCAAAATCCTCATTGAATATTTATGATATAATACCAACCTAGTACTTCCCTAAATTCCACATTAATTAAACTTTATTTTTATTATTATTTTATTTTATTAAACTAAATTAAATTTAAATTTATTAAATGGATAAATATATCCATTTACTTTCCACTTGTGAAAAATATTTTTAAAATAACACTAAAATGTAGATTTAAGGAAAAATTCCAAAATTCTGTGTAATTGCAACTAAATCGATGAAAATACAGATATTTATGGCAGATAAATCTAAAAATTTCTTAGGGTCAAATTACTTACATGTGCTCTTTAGTTAGATAATGCAACTATTATCTAGATTTTCAATTTGAGGAACTTTTTTTTTTTTAAGATTTTATTTATTTATTTGACAGAGAGAGATCACAAGCAGGCAGAGAGGCAGGCAGAGAGAGGAGGAATCAGGCTCCCTGCCAAGCAGAGAGCCCAATGCTGGACTCGATCCCAGGACCTTGAGATCATGACCTGAGCCGAAGGCAGAAGCTTAACCCACTGAGCCACCCAGGCACCCTGAGGAACTTTTTTTTTTTTTTTTAAGATTTTATTTATTTATTTGACAGAGAGATCACAAGCAGGCAGAGAGAGAGGAGGAAGCAGGCTCCCCTAGAGAGCAGAGAGCCCGATGCGGGGCTCGATCCCAGGACTCTGAGATCATGACCCGAGCCGAAGGCAGCGGCTTAACCCACTGAGCCACCCAGGCGCCTCCTGAGGAACTTTTTTTTAAAAAGATTTTATTTATTCATTTGAGAGAGAAAGAGCACAAGCAGAGGAGAGAGGCAGAGGGAGAAGCAGACCCCACTGAACACCGACTGAGCCACCCAGGTTTCCCTTGAGGAAAATTTTTTTGTTTCTTTTAAAGGACGAAAAATCATCTGAACTATAAGACATTAAAATACCTGACACAATGTCTGGAACTCACACTGAGATGGGAATGGTGAACATGTGATTATGCATTTTCCTTCATTTCATTATTTAAATCAACACTAGATTATGGATGGGGTTGGCCACATACTGTTTGGTTAAATTTTGACAGAGTACCTTTTTTTTTTTAAGATTTTATTTATTTATTTGGCAGACAGAAAGAGATCACAAGTAGGCAGAGAGGCAGGCAGAGAGAGAGGAGGAAGCAGGCTCCCTGCTGAGCAGAAAGCCCGATGTGGAGCTGGATCCCAGGACCCTGAGATCATGACCTGAGCTGAAGGCAGAGGCTTAACCCACTAAGCCACCCAGGCACCGCTTGACAGAGTACCTTTCCTCTGAAAAAGGAGTTTTCTAGGCTAAAAATATGAATAAGGACATGTAGTGTTTATAAACATTTTTCTATCACTAAAACTAAAAATTACATTTAATTTATTTTAATAATTTGGATTCAAACTCCTTCAACAGATAATTCCATTAGTTGATAAGAATTATGTCTTTGGGGGTGCCTAGTTGGCTCAGGTGGTAGAACATCATACAACTTTTGATCTCAGGGACATGATTTCAAGCCCCATGTTGGGTGTAGAGCTATTAAAAAAAAATTATGTCTTTATCTAGAGCTGAGGAAATGTTTGTCTCTGAACAATACTTAGAGCTGGGTAGAAAAATCAAATAGAGGGGTGCCTGGGTGGCTCAGTGGGTTAAAGCCTCTGCCTTCGGCTCGGGTCATGATCCCAGAGTCCTGGGATCGAGCCCCACATCGGGCTCTCTGCTCAGCAGGGAGCCTGCTTCCTCCTCTCTCTCTGCCTGCCTCTCTGCCTACTTGTGATCTCTATCTGTTAAATAAATAAATAAAATCTTTAAAAAAAAAAAAGAAAAGAAAAATCAAATAGAGTTCATATAATATTTAAATCTATTTTATTTAATGAGGTAGGTTTTAGAAATTGAGTAGTATTATTTATTCCACGTATTTACTTTTAAATTAACAGTATGGGACATGAATTTTTTTTAATTGGATAATGGAATAGATAATAAATATAGTGACCTCTTAATGGACAGAAAAAGAGATGAAAGGAACAGAAAGAAAATGAAGGGGGGAAGAAAGACATGCACACAGAACTTAGAATCTAAGCGTTAAATAGCTGCAAGCTCCTGTTATGTCCTGGACACTGAGCTACAAGGCACATGCCCTAGCCTGCAGAGCTTGCTCAGTCGTTTGGAAGAGATACTAAATAAGCAGCTGGTTATGAGTTAAAGTCATGAGAATATACAGGCTTGGGGCGCCTGGGTGGCTCAGTCATTAAGCATCTGCTTTCAGCTCAGGTCATGATCCCCGGTCCTGGGATGGAGCCCCACGTCGGGCTCCCTGCTCCATGGGAAGCCTGCTTCCCCCCGCTCCTGCTCCCCTTGCTTGTGTTCCCTCTCTTGCTGGGTCTGTCTCCCTGTCAAATAAATACATAAAATATTAAAAAAAAAAAAAAAAGACTACTCAGGCTTTGGTGGTTTGGAGACTGAGGGGCTTCACAGAGGGCAGCCATATGTGCTGGGTCTTAAAGACTGCATGAGAGTTTGGTAGGCAGATAAAGTAGGAAGAGAGAAGTAGAGAATGTTGTTTGTGCAAAAACCTAAAGGCTCAAAATAGCAGTTATTTATCATAAATCAGGCTCTATTTATGCTGATATAACCAAACTTTAGAAAAATATTTTAGCAGATGGTTATAGTTAGGGTAAATATGGCAGAACACACACATTTAATTTTGCCTCTTCCTGAACAATCCTCTGAAACTAAAGATTTAATTTTATTTTTTATTTAAAATTTTTTTGAAGATTGTATTTTTATTTGTTTAAAGATTTTATTTATTTATTTGAGAGACAGAAAACACAAGCAGGGAGGAGGGGCAGAGGGAGAGGGAGAAGCAGACCCCCCACTGAACAGGGACCTGGATGCAGGGTTCGATCCCAGGACTTTGGGATCATGACCTCAGCCGAAAGCAAATGCTTAACCAACAGAGCCAGCCAGGTGCCCCAAGGTTTTATTTTTAAGTAATCTCCTCACCCAACATGGGGTTCCAAGTCACAACCCTGAGATCAAGAGTTGCACATTCCCCTGACTGAGCCAGCCAGGTGCCCCAAGAATTTTTTAAAAGACATAAATTCGTAAGGATAGCAGGAAAAGGAGACAACGGCAATATTTGAAAGCCAGAAAGCAGATGGGCCAGTATTAAGCAAATTAGCCAACCTGAGAAGGCTGTGCATCAGATCATTCATGATAAAGCTGAGAACTCAGCCCACATACACTCCAGAATCCTCGCAAGAGGCAGTAACGGCAGAAGTTCTAGAACTGGGTGGGTGGTGGTGGTGGTGGAGAGTATAGCTAAAATAATGAGTACTAGGGGCGCCTAGGTGGCTCAGTGGGTTAAGCCTCTGCCTTCGGCTCAGGTCATGATCTCAGGGTCCAGGGATCGAGGCCTGCATCGGGCTCTCTGCTCAGCGGGGAGCCTGCTTCCCCCCTCTCTCTGCCTGCCTCTCTGACTACTTGTGATCTCTCTCTGTCAAATAAATAAATAAAATATTAAAAAAAAAATAATGAGGACTAGGTGAAAAGCTGTCAGGAGAAGCAGTTAGATCCCTCGGTCCTCACCAGCTGAAGTGTGATCCTACCTTGGACCAGCAGCTGCACCACCATTACCTGAGGCTTCATCTCAGGCTGCATCCTGGACCTACTGAGTCAGAGCCTACATTTTAATTAGATCCTCGGGTGATTTATACATGCATTGAAATTTGACTGCCTCAGGTGATTCTTGTACTCCAAGCCACTAAGAGATAGGATATTAATCCTCCCACTTGAGTTGTTCTTTATTCTGGAGAGACCTTTATTCTTCAGAAATGATGCAATTGGAGGGTCTCTGGACTGGAAGATACCTGACATATTTGAGGACTAGAAAACAGGGACTAAGTGACTGAAAGCTCACTGATCACTGAAGCCTCACTGAGCCTTCTCCCCAATTCAACTCTAAGAAAGCTGGCAGCCTGTACCCTTATTACTCAGCAGAATATTGCTATACTCTTCTGTTGAGAATCTGACCCACTGAAAAGAAAATATGAAGAGTACTAACCACAGGGATTCCCTAACATGCCGCTCAGATCATCCTACACAAGGTTTAAGGATTACAAGCCTCACCCATGTGCTCTAGTATTCTCATCAGCTTTTTAATCCAAGCCCTTTAATCATGAGCAGATAATCAAAATAAAAAATAAAACAAAATAGAAAAGCCTCTTCCATTAGAGACCAGAACACATAGAGAAAAAGTAACCTGGAGGAGACAGATAATAGTCAGGAAGATAAAAACTTCAAAAGCTCTTTATCTTTAGATATAAGCTGTTGTAACCATGAAACAAAAACAAAGTTCTAGGGGCACCTGGGTGGCTCAGTGGGTTAAAGCCTCTGCCTTCGGCTCGGGTCATGATCCCAGGGTCCTGGGATCGAGCCCCGCGTCGGGCTCTCTGCTTGGCGGGGAGCCTGCTTCCTCCTCTCTCTCTGACTGTTTCTCTGCCTACTTGTGACCCACCCCCGCCCTCTCTGTCAAATAAATAAAAAATATCTTAAAAAAAAAAAAAGTTCTAGGAAAAAGAGTATTCAGAGACCGTTAAAAAGCATTCTCAAAAGGCAAAAACAGGCACACCTGGGTGGCTCAGTTGGTTGAGCAACTGCCTTCAGCTCAGGTCATGATCTCAAGGTTGTGGAATCGAGCCCCTCATCGGGCTCTCTGCTCAGCAGGGAGCCTGCTTCCCCCTCTCTCTCTGCCAGCCTCTCTGCCTACTTGTGCTCTCTCCCTCTCTGTCAAATAAATAAATAAAATCTTTGGGGGGAAAAAAAGGCAAAAACACCATACAAACTGCAAAACTAAATAGGTTTAGATGACAATATTGATAAAAATCTCTAACAGTTAAAAAGAATAGGGGGGGGGAAGGAAAATTAGAGGTCGCACTAGGAAATTCAACATTCAACTACTAGAAGTTCTGCCAAGACAAGCTTGCTGAGCTTGATCCCAGGCCCCAGGGTTCATAACCTGAGCTGAAGGCAGATTGAGCTCCCCAGGTGCCCCATTCCATAATTAAAATTTGAAAGAGTGATATGTTTATGACATCCTTCAGTTCTGTGTTATCAATAGTATTTATGCCTACACTTTCAAGGAGTTTCAATTAGGGAGCTCCTGAAAGGCGGTATTCAAAAGAATATACTTACTCATTCTACTCTAGTATCACTCATGATGTTAAGCAAAGAACTATTCCATATATACATACATAAGTACAATGAAAGTAAATGCTACGTTTTTCATTCCCCTGTGCAATATTCTATGAAAGCTATTCCAAAGCCAGGCATACCTGCAATTTGAGACCTTAGGAATATAGGATTGGTTGACAGCTTGGATCCCACCAGACGTCTATTCTGAATGCAAAGCATCTGAAAAGAGCTAGCAGAAAAAAACCCCTTCTTTTAGCATTTTTCATATACTAATGTGTTTAATAAAGCAAAGAGATGTAGAGAAATTAGCTGGAACATAATGTCAAATATAGAAACCATTTGGTAACCACAGTTGGAGAAGAGATACAGTATCAGTCACATAAAAACACCTTTGACCAAAAGTGGCATTTGAGAAACATATTCAAATAAGAACAAGTTTGCCAGATAGCAGATTTCTTTTTTTATTTTTTTAGATTTTATTTATGTATATGACAGGGAGAGAGAGAGGGAGCACAAACAGGGGGAGCAGCAAAGGGAGAGGGAGAAGCAGGCTCCCCGCCCTACATGGGGCTCAATCCCAGGATCCTGAGCTGAAGGCAGACACTTAACCAACTAGGTCACCCAGGCACCCCATAGATTTCAATACTGTATTGAGAATATAGTTTCTAGTGTCGGGGCCAGTCTTGTTTGTTTGTTTTTTATTTTTATTTTTATTTTTATTTTTAAAGATTTTTTATTTACTTATTTGACAGAGAGAGATCACAAGCAGGCAGAGAGGCAGGCAGAGAGAGAGGAGGAAGCAGGCTCCCTGCTGAGCAGAAAGCGCAATGCGGGCCTTGATCCCAGGACCCTGAGATCATGCCCTGAGCCGAAGGCAGAGGCTTAACCACTGAGCCACCCAGGAGCCCCTGTTTAAAAAAAAAAAAGTCTTATAAGAATCTTTTGGAAAGACTTTCAAATCCTTTCACTCAACCTCATGTAAATGTTTTCTCCACGACAGTAAACCTGACAACTTTCTGTCATAACTTTGTCTCACCAAGGTTAGTGTCAGAAGGTTCTGGGAAGAGAAGAGGAACTGGCAATGTACTGCTGACTGGGCTGCTTGAGGGGTGCAGTAGCCCACTGTGGTCCTGCAGGAAAGGCGGGTGTTGTGTGTCCCAGGGCTCTCTGAAGAAGCTGGGCAATGGCACCAACTAGCTACTGGCAACTAGTGAATCTGTCTTGTGGGTGTAGGCATACCCCCTCTAGAACTGTTTAGAATAAAAGCAGCAACAACAGAGCCTTACTCTTTGTTCATTTTAAAGGCTTCTAAAGCCCCTTGGGTTGCTCACCTTTTAAACTGTTCACATTTAATAAAACAATTCTAAAACTGTTTAAAGTTCACGGAGCAAAAAGCTGTCAGATACACCTGAATTGTCCACATGAATACACACTTGTTTTCCTAGTGTCTCATATTCAGTTCCTTATTGGGACAATCCCCTTGTCTTTAAGCCTTTACTCTCTTCCAGTTCTTCTATCACGGTCATCCACTTGCACATCAAAAATGCTGAAACTGAAGCTCAATTTTTCTACTCTTCATAGAGGTAAGCCCTACCTGTGACGAAGATCACTTCTCTAGCCTACAATTATCCTGGTTCAGGAATGTTCTTGCTTCCTGTCTCATTCTGTGAAACATCCTCACAGAGCACCCAATGCTGACACTATATTAACATTCAGTCAGACCCTTTGTTATAATATAGCATATAAATAATCCCCACACTCAGCTACACCTTCCAAATAGATAACAAGTCGACTGGAGAAAGTTCTGGACTCAGACCCACATTTCCATCTTGACTCCCCTACTTATGAGCTGTACACCACAGTCAGATCTCTTAGCCTCTCAGTCTTGGGTCCCTCCTCTGTAACATGACAAGGATCAAACCTTTATTCAAGGCGGGGAGGGGGTGGGAGGAGGTGATGAAATCAGACGTCTAGAAAAAGACTTTCCTATTGTGCCTCACTACTCAGTGTATTCTTTTTAAAAATTCTATCTCAGAATTTAGCCTTCTTTTATTTTTATCGTGTCTCCAATTCACAGGCTACTTAAATAACATGAAATATTAAAAATTTTTTAAAGATCTGTAAATAATGTTTTGTAAACGTAAATGGAATCTATGAAGTGAATATGGAAAAAAGATAACCTTAAATGTTTTTTCCTTATAACTTCCAAATACAATAATTTCCACATATTATAAGATTAATTATTAAATAGCTGGACAAATTCCTTTTTATTTTAAAATTAGAATGTCTTTAAAATCATTTATGATTCATCATGGCATATTTACTATACTCTTTTAGTGCCTCTCTCTACTTCCAAGACTTCACAGAAATTACAGTTTGGTTACTTAAAAATTAAAAAAATATATGTACTCTGAAGAACGAAAACTTGGGAAGAGATGTATCATCAGATGACAGATTCCAGGCAAGCTTTGGAAACAGAGTGGGGATGGTGGTGTGGTAAACTGCCTTAGCATAACAGAGGCATAAGAGAGGTGGCCCCATGACCAGGAGCCAGCTGACCCACAGGCCCTGGGAAGTTCAGTGCTGAGAGGCCCCACTGACACAGAAAGTGGCAATGAGGTACAGGGCTGACAGTGAGGATGGTTTGACATCTCTGGACAAATCTACTGGACTCCCAGTTACTTTTCTCCACCCCAAGTAGATAAGCACTCTTCTCGGCAAGAAAACAAGATTTATTCTCTGAGCACATCGATCAGAAAGGCTAAAAATAGGGGATAAAGTGAGAGTTTACAGGCTGAATTCCCAGACCTCTGCCCTGCTAGCAGGAGACTAGAAGGCCAGGGAAAAAAAGGAAGTAAAAAAGCACTGGGTCTTAAAATTATGAGCCCTATTAAAAATCTCTGTTGATAAATGAAGCAATTCAAATAACTACATTCACCCCTCTAGACACCCACTCTAAATGGAAATAGAAAGTTACCTGAAAACGTTATTCAAAATTTCATACTTCACTTATGCCTTTTCTCTCCCTGGATGAGTTTTTTTGTCAGCCAGCTGTCAGTTCCTACTGAAGGAAATCAAAGCTATTCAGAGTTACATAAATACCAATAATTTGTTCCACACATCTCTCCCCTTCGGAGTCTAGTTTTTTAATTCCTTGTTGAGACATCCCTACAGTGTTTGTTTGGTTAATTATATTTTAGCGATTATGAGTAAAAGTGTCTGGAGTGGATCCCATGCACCACAGTCCTGTGTATACAGGCCAAGGCTTGCCCTGCAAGGATGCTGGGGTTGAAAGGGCCGCAGCGCTCACCTGGTCCAGCCCTCCCCCACCCGACACCAGTCCACGCAGCCGAGGAGGCCCAGGAAGGAAGGGTGGGAGAACTCCCAGTCATTCCTCTTATTCGCCTGCTCACCAGGACTTAATTAGATCTTCCTGTGTCCTTTCCTTCAGGTTTCTCTTCTGTTTCCTTGCTTCTTGGATACCAGCTTCCCACAGAATAGGGTTCTGTTCTGAGTACCTGATTTGAGTGGTATCAACAATGGTAGTACCACACAGGCTGAGGTATTTTAGAAGCCTTTTTAGAGATGACGAGCTTGGCCTTCCCTGTGGCTCTTTCTCTCCAAGCCACCCCATTGTCCTTGCATGCAGAGAGAAATGTTATTTTCCTTTCAGATTCTTACCCTACCTCCAAATAGGATCGGTGTTCCCTCCCATAAAGGGCCATGGTGGGAGAGGGCAGCAAGGGGGGGTGGACAGTAACAAATGGGTTTCAAGCTGGATATTCAGCGCGTCACTCTTGCCCTGGGTCATCCTGTCTTTGTGCTGCCCACGAGGGGACGGAAGCTCAGAAGGAGCAGCAGGCTGTATGTGTCAGAGATTGGGGCTCTGTTTATTCCCAAGTTACCAGCCCTTGGGAAGCCGATCCTCTGAGGTTCATCCTAAAATGGGGATAGTTATCAGCAGAAGATGATTGTGAAAATTTTAGAAGATCCTGATATAATTGCCCTTTAGGAATTAAATAAACAGCAGTTTCTAAACATGCATCACTGAATATGAATCCTGGGCTGATGGGGTCTGACAACTGGGAGGCCAAAGTGCCTACACCAACGGGCTTTCCATCTCTGTGGGCGTAATCACATGGAGAGCTTATTACAAATGAGATTTCAGGCTCCAGTCCCACATAGTCAATAGGGGACGCTTCCTAGGCAGACTTGGAGAAAATCTGTGACAAACTCTTCCTTCTTCATTCTAGTCTCACTTCCTATTTGCTGTCAAACCCCGCTTCAGGCTGGAACGAGGATGCAAAGGGCAGAGATGATTGCCATGGCCTAGAGAGGGATGAAGGAGCCCACAGGGCTAGAGAAGAGAACAGCCTTGACTTAGAAGGGGCCAGGCACTGGAGGTTTGCAGTCCCACCCTTCCCATACAGGTCTGAAAAAATCCAGAGGTACAGTGGGCAGCCCAAGGCTGGGATGTGGGGGCCAGTGGCACTTAGAATGAAACAAGTCGGCCTGCCACAAGCAGAACGTGTGTCTTCTTGCCATGCAAGCAAAGGGGCAAAGCCAGAACAAAAGACACACTGGAGATTGTCCCAGGAAATGTAAAGACTTGCCAAGAAAAGTGTTCTTCTCTGGCACCAGCTTGTAAGAAATATTTCGAAACTGCCCAAGGGAAGGAGTGAGTAGCTAGTAAGGTTTGCTCTGTTTGCTCACACAAAGCCAAAAAGGGCTGGTGTCTTTTAGTTACTTGTATGTCCCCTAGGCCTCTGGGCTAGGTCCCCACCTCTCTCAGCAGACACCCCTCCCAGCACACACGCAGACACGCAAACCTATACCTCCAAGTCTCGGGGAGCCAAGGTGATCGGATTTCCAAGCTGTTGAGGATTCTGGTAGCGTCTCCACAGTCCCCGCCGGTTCCGGGAACCAAGCTTGTTTCCTCAGTTTGTCCTGAGAGCGAGAGCGAGCAAGTCCGTGGTGCTGTCGGAGAAGGGCAAAGGAAGGTGACTGGGGCGACAGCGCCGGGGCACCGATGGGGGCGGGGTGTGCGGTTCTGTCGCCTCGTCTCTGAGACAAGACAGGCAGCCGGCGAGCTGAGGCGATCGCCATCCACGTGAAGGGGTTCTGCCCAGAGCCGCAGCTGAGCGGTGCCCTCACCGCCAGGCCGGAGAACTCGGCCCTCCCTTGGGAAATGGAGCGTCCGAGGGGAGCAGCCATTGCCCCCATCCCCGGGCAGGGGCACCTCTGGACCTCGGACCTCCCATAAGGGGGTTCGGGGTCCTGGTGCGAAGGCGGTGCGCGCCCGAGAGACGCCGGGACCGGGCTGCCCGCCCCCGTGTGACTCCCATTTGTCGAGCCAGTGATTGCAAACCGCTCCGCAGCCCCCAGCCCGCCTCCCGCGCCCAGCCAGTACCTCCCGCCTCCCAGCGGCGGGAGGCACCTGCGGAGACGCGCGCAAATCGGGCCCCCAGACCCGCGCGCTCCTGCGGCCTCGCGCGCGCCGTTCCCGCTGCGGCGCTAACCCGCGCCCGCGAGCCCTTGCCCGGATGCTCCCAAACATCCCGCAGCCGCGCGGCTGCCCCATCCACTCTCCCGCGCAGCAAGGCCGAGTAGGAGGCGAAACCCGTATCTCCCGCGGGGTGCACGCCCGAGCCGCTGCAAAGCCCGAGCCGAAAGCAGGCGGGGATTTCGGGAGAGGGGAGAGCAGACTCGGGTGGAGTCTGGACAGGCCCCTGCCCACCAGCAGCCTTCGGTTGACGCCTGGTCTCCGTCCCCGCTCAAGGCACTGCAGTGTCAGGGTGCGCGGGAGGTGCGGGCTCCCAGGGCCTGAGCGTACCCGCCGGGGCGCACGGAGGCCGCGGGGCCCCAGGCAGCGCCCTCCATCCCCTCCTCCCGGCAGCCAGCCCGCAGAACCAAAGTTTCTCCAAGTGCAGCCCGCAGAGACTCCGTCGCACACGAACCTGGGACGCGCTGTCAAGTCGGCGTCGGCGCCTCCCACCCACGGGTAGCCTCGGACCCACGGGTAGCCTCGGACCCTCCGCGCCAGTCTCCGCCGGGCTTCCGTCCGGGCTGGTTTGTCTTCGGGGTCTCCTCGGCGGTTGGAGTCACGGATCCCGGTAGGTGCTGCCCTGTCCACGCCCCTGCTCAGCTGAGAGAGGGGGGCGGCGGGCCGGGAGCCGTGAAGCGTCGGAGCGGGGGCCGGGAGGCGCGCACCTCGCCAGACGCCCGGGCGGTGCGGCGTTTCCGCTGGGAGTGACGCGCCGGTTCCCAGCTGCGCGGCAGGTGGGGCCGGCGGGGCCAAAGTCTGTTGGGACCCCGGGGCCAAAGTCTGTCTCTGAAGCTCCGCCCTATGTCCCCAAAAGTAGCCCCACCACACGCACACAGACACCTCACCGCAGCCGCGGCGCTTTGGCGGGGCCGGCTTTGCCCAGGGCAGTGGCGGCAGGGTCTTCTCCACTGCAGGGAGACCGCCACCCCTACATCCCGGCTTCTGGTTTCCCCTGTCCACACCTGCATCTCTCCCTCCAGGTCATATTCGACCAGGCTGGCCCTGTATGTGACTCCCACGGCTCCTTCTTCCCCTTTCTCGTCCTTCTACCCGCTTTAGATAGAACCTGAGTCTCGCTTCAGGTTGGGCTGTTGGAGGAAGCAATCGTTCTTGTTTATATGAGTTTATAACTTTATTACACTGTTATTAAAACATTAATGTAACACTTTAACAAAATGTAACAAAATGTGTATTTTATGTGTTAAACTGTGCTGTAGTGGTCTTAACTCTTCCATTTACCAGGGATCATCAGGGTGGAGAAAAGGCTATGACCATTTTTTGTTGTTGTTCGGTTAATGTCAGTCAAAACTAGTTAGTAGTTTTGAGTTCTCAAAGGGGTAAGTAAACTTATCTGTGGGCAGGCTTCTTTTATTTAGGAAAATGACCTGCTGAAATGGGCCCTTTAGTAAAAATAGGTAAAGCAAGTTCACAGGACATTTTAACTTGGAGTTGGCCACTAGAGAGTTGGAATCCTGGATATGGATTACCGTGTAACCCCGACCATTTTTGAGGGAAGATTGGAGAGTCCCAAGGGGGCAAATTTGGGTGAAGGCATGGGCTTCCTTTCCTTCATTTAAAAAAAAGTTTTTATTAATGTATAGTACATATTGAAAGGTGCACTTTTCACAGGCTCAACGGTATTGTGCAAAATGAAACATCCTTAAGATCAAGGCACAGAACATTAGCAGCTTCCCAGAAGACTTCCTCATATCCTCCCTTTGGAGGGGGCAGGGTAGTAGCTTCACCCAACATAGACTTTTTGCTTATATTTGCACTTTATAACAATCAAATTATATGGAATTTACTCTGTTGTCTGACTTCTTTCACTTGACATTATGTTAAAGGATGCAAACTGTCTATGGTCATAGTTTGTTCTTTTCTTTCTGTATAGAATAATGCTGTATGAATTTATCTAAATTTATTCATTATACTACTGATAGACATTTGGGTAATTCTCAGGTTTGAGACATTATAAATAATGCTGCTAGGAATATTATAGTAGATGTCTTTGGTGAAAGTATATACACATTTTTGTTGAGTATACATAGGAAACAGACATACATACATACATATGTGTTCAACTTCTGCAGATATTGCAAAATGGTTTTTCAAAGTAGATGACCTAATTTTCACTCTATTAATTTTCTTTTGCTACTTGTAACAAATTACCATAAACTAAGTGACTTAAAACAACACAAATTTATTGTTTTAAAGTTTTGGAGGTCAGATGTCCCAACTGTTTGCCTTTTCCAGTTTCTAGAGGCTGACTACATTTTTTTGCTTGTGGCCCCTTACTCTGACTTCCAATCTCAATCCCCCCCCCTCCTCAACTCTGCTGCTCTTGTCATATGTCCTTTTCTCCTTCTGCTTCCTTCTCTCCCTTTGATCCTCTTTGCCTCACTTTTATAAAGACCTTTGGTATATTGTGTATATTGGGCCCACTCAAATAATCCACAATAATCTCCCATCTGAAGATCCTTAATTTAATCACAAATGCAAAGTTCCTTTGTGATATAAGGTAACATATTCATAGATTCCAGAGACAAGGATGTGAAACTCTTTGGGGGCCATGATTCACTCTACTACACCTATCAGCAGGTATTGAAACCTGCTATGTTGAATGGGTAGAGAGAGGCTAGACTGAAAAAAAAAAAAGGAAAGAGAAACAAAAGTGAAAAGGATAATGAAGCCCTGAGGTTCAATTCACCTGGAGGATTGGCTCTCTTGCCCTAAGAGCTGTGCCGGGACTGGTAGGCAGGAAAGGGTGCCTGATGCTGGAAAATTACCTCTGACCAATATGATCCTGACACCACCAACAGGTCTGGGACCCAGGGCTTTCATAAAGAGAATGAGAGCCTAGGTCGATTTTGTCTTGGGCACCTTGCCAACTGAAATGTTAGGGAAGGATTGGTAACAGCAAGAAAACAATGGTGAACAGATCACATCATGCCCTGTGGGTAAGGTCCTATGGTCAGCAGACAGTGACCCACCCCATCCATGTCACTGTCCATCCAACGGGCTCTGGGACTGATCTTTTTCAGGGTTGATGGTGGAATTATGGAGTAAGGTGAGAATGTGATGGGATGGCAGAGCCTGCCAATCTAGGCAGGCATGCCCATGCCTTCATTGTAACTTAAATGTTAAAGGATGCTGGAGGGCTTTAACACTCTAGACTTAAGGGTGGGGACATATAGTTTCTTTCTTTTTAAAAAGATTTCGTTTAGTTATTTGGGAGAGAGAGCACAAGTGGTGGGGAGGGGCAGAGGGAGAGGGAGCGAGAAACAGACTCCCTGATAAGCAGGAAGCCTTACACAGGGCTCAATCCCAGGACCCAGACATCATGACCTGAGCAGAAGGCAGATGTTTAACCAACTGAGCCACCCAGGTGCCCCAAGGACATATAGTTTCTCCTTCCTTCTGGCCTCATTTTGGTCCAGCCACCACACCCTTGAAGGAGCTAGGACAGATGTTATCCCTGTTTTACCAACAAGAGCACCAGGGCTCCAAGCAGCTTTCTGATTTGCTCAAGGAGCCTTATGAATGGAGCTAGAGCACAGCAATCCTTGTAGCTCTGCTCCCCTTAGCGCTGTCCCATCTCCCTGGTGTGTGAGATCCACTGACACCTGTAGACATGGGAGCTGAGAGGCAGAGCTGACCCTATAGGCACAAACCAAATTGGACACATCCTACTCTGTGGGTGATATAGTGGGATTACCTGGTTTTATGCCAACAAGAATATGTTTTGGTGGGGTTTTAAGAATAAGTAATGGTAGGTGCTTGTGTTTGATAAGCATCTTGATCAGAAATCCCTCCGCCAATTTTCTGCCTTCCAGAAATAAGCTGAACATTGATCTATTGATGGAACCCCTCCATTTCCTTCAAAATTATGGTTTACACTACAAGTCATTTACAAATTCAGATCTCAGGACAGAGAGGAGATGTGTGATTAGTCTGTCATTTTGAATTTAAAATCCCTTGGTTATCATCCTCATAGTCATAATCATCATTAATAAATGCTCTCCTATCTTGAACAGCTTCTCCCTACCCTGGCCTTTTCATCGTCCCTTCTACCTCAGCCCCTTAGGTTTCTCTGCCTTTACCACTTACTTAAGTTGTTCCAAGTCCCCAAGGACAGTGTCAAATCTTTGGAATCTCCTTTTACCTCACCCATCTCAAATTTGGGTTGATGGCTTCCTGGGAAGACTGCTCTACTTTCACCCTGGGACCTTGTTCTGTGATTCTCCTGGATGGACTCCATTTTATAGGTCCTGTTTCTTCCTCTCTCTTAATTCACTTTCTCTATTTATGGATAATCTCTCTCTCCAGTAACTTCCTAAAAAGGGTATGTGGAAGGTAAATTTGGAATCCTTGCTTACCTGAAAATGTCTTTATTCTACCCTAACACTGTTTGATTGCTTATGTGAGTA